TATATATATATATATATATATATATATATAAAATTATGTGGGTACAACATTTTGTGCTGTGAATTTAATATTTTTGTAGAACCTCGCCACTTGGTATTATCTAGTGCAAGAACCTTTACTACCAAGTTCTATGTATTCAAAGGTCGCTCTGATTTCAGTATATCGATATTGTAGATTCTAAATTTCGGAAGGATTCCTAATAAGAGGCCATAGGTTTCAAAATAATTTGTAGGCTTTAACAAAATAGTCGACATGAAGATCTAGACTTCAAATAAAGAAAGAAAAAAAGGACACCTACATGTACGGTCTAGACATCAACGGAAACCTTAGTGTAAACACTAAAAGCGATATGCAGTAATTTGACGTGAAAGCGTGCCCAAAGTTGAAGAACTGTTATTATGTATTAAACCGTTACGAATTTTATTTAGATAAATGTAATGCTCTAAGAAAAAACATTTGAAGATTACAGCTATGTGAGAGTTATGCTTGTAGCTCTAATATTTATGTGCTGTCTTTCTTTTCTGGCTCTTTATGTACTAGTAACGATTTAGCAAACTAATATGATTTAATTCTAGATGTGCCACTCACCTAACTGTTTTATAGTTCCTAACTAACAGTCCTGTTTATACAGAATGTGCCGGAGTGTTTTAAGTTAGTAGTTACAACAAAATTATACATGATTCTTGTTTTTTCTCTCTGTTTCTATAATAAAAGCAAATCTAATTTTTGTTTCAACTAAACACGCAGAGAAATTAGAGTTAACTAGAATGTTAATTGTAATGGTAATATTTTATAATATTTTGAAAAAAACCAGCTATTGTCGAAGATTACGTTTGATTAAATTTAACTGATGATCAGATTCATTTGAATATAATACTTGCGTATGTTTCTGTTGAAGCTGTTCAACACATCGCGTGTTTCAACACAACTCTCCCTAACAGGAAATCTACTTCCTGAACTGAAAGTTATATCAAATTGTCCTTGGCAAAAATATTTTCTCCAGGTTGTTGACAGAAAAGATATTGCAACATTAAATTATGTTTATTATAAAGCTTCCTCTTCAGGTTACAAGCCAGTTGTTTGAAATAAACAGATCTTTGAACGTACACAACAATGTTGAATATTTTTCACGCTTAAAGTTGTGTCTAACTAACAACTACATCGTGATCCCTGGAGTGTGGTTATTTAAGATTACTTAATATTCATGGATATTCGCAGATATGTCACATGCCCAATACAGAGAATTCAATAAATACCATAAAAACCCATTGAAAATCTTTCACAGCTGCATCCTTAGAATTACTGTCAAATTATTTGCCTTCCTGCTTTGAAACTCGTGTTTGGTCTTCACATCGAAACTGGACGAAACTGCTCTCACTGGTTCACCCAGTTTGTGGTCGAGTATTATTATTAAGTGATAGAAAATTTGCGTGTCCCCCATTTTTGGAAGCTTATACTTTCTCCTCTCTGAAATACATGTAATTTAAAATGTTATGGCAACGGGTTGTACACTCTTTCACACTTATAAACTGCCTATGTGGTTTGTATGTATATGTGTGCGCGTGCGCATCTATATTTATATTCACTGAGGCCTCTTGCAAAGCATTTTACATGGATATTGCCACATGTTCAAGTAGTCCAGTACATGCATGTACATGTTTTAATAATGTTATATTACAACGATTTCAATATGCAAATCAGCAAGTTACGTGACATCCATAGCCAATATAAAGTCGTGATGGAATTGCGTGTATGGGAACTATATTTCAATACTGTTTGGTGTTTTGTAAGTATTGTGATGCCACCAAAAAATGATAACGTTTAGGAAGGGTATGTAACTGCTCTTTATGAAACAATTTACAAAGCGGGGATATATTTTCACTTAATGCTATTGGAAAACAAGGGAGCATCGATCAACTTGGGGCACCAGAACCATTCAGAAAAATACCTGCAACAAGTCGTACCGCAGTCATGGTAAGTAAAGTGTGCCATTTTGTACAGGTGAAAATCTACAAAAAAAAAAGGCCAGTGGCAAAAGCCGTCCACATGCCCCATGTAACAATAAGCGAAAAACTCAAGAAGGGTCTGCATCAAGGATAAGCTACATAAGTCAGGTGTACACCAGTTGCTTACACCATATTTCCGTTAAACCGACGTATACTTCAAAGAGTTAGAAAATGAAATGTGTATTCATGATATTTCATACGAAGACATATTGGTCAAGTCACTGGACACAGTGCTTATAGATATCTGTCCGATGCGATTATTGAAACCATCGTTCATGTACACTAGATGGATTATGTAAGGTCTGCAGGTAAAAGTGGTGTACTTCGGACATGACATCCTTACTATACTGCATGGCTACTGCCAAATTGCACCATAGTCAGATGCACCATGACCGAACTAGGCGACATGGACTGTAACAATGTGGAGAAGGTCAACTCGTTTTAATAATATTAGTAACTTAGCCTCTATTACAGCCACTATTATCCGTGGTATCATTATTTCGTTTCTTGAATTACCTAAGTCTTATGCATCGTAGCCTCTTAGCTTTGAATTTGCATTTGTACACTACTAAAACAAGCAAGTGGTGTAGCAATAACACACACATGTCTAATATTTCGTACGCCACTTTACGTTTAGCTCGAGACATCACTAAGCTAACTGAGCTTTTGAACTATAGATGAGGCGGCTCGCGGGTTCGAATCCCTGTCACACCAAACATGTTCGCCCTTTCAGTCGTGGGGGCGTTATAATGTGACGGTCAATCCCACTATTCGTTAGTAAAAGAGTAGCCCAAGAGTTGGCGGTGGGTGGTGATGACTAGCTGCCTTACCTCTAGTCTTACACTGCTAAATTAGGGACGGCTAGCGCAGATAGCCGTCGTGTAGCTTCGCGCGAAATTAAAAAAAAAAAACAGATGAGGCGGCTACTCACAATTATCGTACACTAGTCAACAATGGACAGATACCGAGCCGGTTTCTGACATAATGCGTAAGTTAGCAATGCTTATAATACACAAATCTGTATATTATTTAATGCTTATATTACTTAACAATGCTTATCAAATGCGAGTCAGTTACTGATATATGTGTTAAAAGTAATTGCTAACTTTTACTCAGTTAAAGTCAAACACCATATCTAACTTACCCATTAACAGATTAAAATACGAAGTGAAAGACCGAAGACAGCAAGAAATACTGTTCGGCTTGACGATTCGGGGGCGGGGTATAGGGAGAGAAAACGATTTGTTGGAAGGAAAAAAAATCTGGCGAGGAAAACAAGCAATAACATAATAATACGTATCTGACTATCAAGATTTATTTGTATTGTGACGACTTGTGTTTTGTTTTAGTAACCACATGTATTGAAATAATTTATTTTGTCACGCCAATCGCTAGATAATGTATTTGTTTAATAACAATCTAGCTCTAAATAATTTATTCAGATACTTGTTATGTGTTTTCATTTGTGAACAGCTTAGTTTTTTTTTTGTTTTTTCGGTCTTCAGGATTAGACAAACTCCTAAGTGATTTAAAGATCGGCAGCGAGCATGATCACCATGGCAACCTGAAAAATCATCACAGCGAAACCTTTAATAATTCTAATTACGACAATGATCATGATCACACTGAGTACAACCATGATAATCTGATAATTGATCAAGCACCCACCAGTACAAACAGACCAAGAACAACGCAGGAAATTACAACTGTACTGACCAATATCTCCGACTCAAACCAAATTAGTCAATCAGCTCAAGAAATACCTAACCACACTTTTTCATCAACATCTACTCACAATATGTCCAGTTTTAACGTAGAAGACCTAGAAAAAATTCCAACCTTTTTTCTTGATTCTTCAGTCAACGGATCAGCCGATAGCAGTAAACAGCTGGTTCAAAGGTCAAGAAGGACTGTTAACCACGACGACCACGATCATGATATCCAAGTGAAGCAGGTATATGTAACATATGTGTTGATCTTTATACATTTCCTTCGAATCCCCGACCCACCAAACATGCTCGCCCTTTCAGCCGTGGGGGTGTTATAATGTGACGGTTAATCCCACTATTCGTTGGTAAAAGAGTAGCCCAAGAGTTGGCGGTGAATAGTAATGACAAGCTGCCTTCCCTCTAGTCTTACACTGCTAAATTAGAGATGGCTAGCGCAGATAGTCCTCGTGTAGCTTTGCGCGAAATTCAAAACAAACCGTAACAGTTGGTGAATTTAACCAATATACCAACAATAAGTTAAGCAGATATCGCGGACATTATATTGTAACATACCCAGTTTCTAGTGTCTATAATGATGTTTAGGATTTTGGTAATTTGTATTTCCAATGGCACTTTCGTTATTTTTTCTCAATGTAAAAGATAATCTGGAATCTTGGAATTTCAATGCCCAAATTTATTTGTGTAATATGAAATCCACTAATTTTAAATGAAATCTCGTATTCTGAACGGTTAACTCTTATAGTGCTTGGAAATGCTTCTGTGATTTATCTATAATTATAGCTTGTGAGTGAAATGTATTCTAATATATTTTATTTGAAGCGACCGTCCTGAATCTTCTTGTGTTGAATAAATTTCATTTTGACGCATTATAGTGCTGGAGCTCTCGTGCTCTGATGGAGAAGTTTGCCTTGAGAAACAAAGGTCAGATCTCTCGATCTGAATTCTTAAATCTCTGTCCTGCTTTAATTCAACAAATAGTCAGTGACATTTGTTTAAAGAAGAAGCCTATATCCTCCAGATCATCTAATGCTGAAAGTAAGCGTTTGTTTTTTATCATTCATAAAGTTGTATGTGATCTTGCCATAAACTTAAGCCTAAACGCAAAACATTAGCACGTGTTTGACATTTGAAGATTTTGCCATAATTACAATAGCCTTTCAAAACCTGATCCGATTATCATACTCATAATATTTCAGTGGAAACCGATTTTAGACTAGTTTTTAGGAAGCCACGGTTAGCCTACTTCTGACTTACTAATGGGACACGCTGTTTATTCGTGATTGATACAATGTTTCTATACTAATTGTTTTTAGGGCAATGTAATCTACATTTATATGAAACGCTGTAATAATTCCATTTCAAGTTTCACTAACAGGACGAAATTATTAGGTTTTGTAAACCTTGACATGAAACACGTAAAACGGAAAATGTAGGTCTGTCTAGTTGTTCGTTAGAAAAATGATGTAATGCTAAAGATATTAACACAAATTAATAATAAATTTGTAATATGTATTGTCAAGATTTAAACTCCAAATTAGAATTGACCTTGTTTTTTTATACGAATCAAATTTCTTAACCCTAGTGTTATTTATAGTTTTTTTTTAAATGTTTTACTAAACTACTTGACTTTGTTCATCACAAGGCTCGTAATAGCATATGAGCACAACAAAAACAAAATAGAGTACCATTTTGTAATTAAACCCCTGTATTTTACATAGAAAATGACTGATTTCATCCAGTTTTGTTTGGTCAGTTTTTTTTCTTTTACATTGTGTGTTGTAACAAACGAAAAGATAATTTAATATGATGCGACATGTTAAATCCCACCCACAGTAAACAAGTGGTAATTTGAGGGTTAAAATACGTTTACTATGGAGGAATTTGAATGTGAATATGTTCTGAGAACGCTAGATTGAGGCAATTATCTTTAATACATTGTGTTGAAGAATAAACCTCAACCACATAACATAGAATTTTAATATCGAAGAATAAGGCTCCCAAGTGGCACAGCGGTATGTCTGTGGACTTACAACGCTAGAATCCAGGTTTCGATATCTGTAGTGAGCAGAGCACAGACAGCCCATTGTGTAGCTTTGTGCTTAATTACAAAAAAAACGAAGAATAATAGTTGTTTATTTGTTAAAGTACATAAACAGATAAAATTTGTGTAAATTCGTATATAATATCGCTATATTTTATCTGTTTCTTCAAGTTGCATCGACTTTACCTTATACTTTAACAATGCATGATACTTTACCCTTATTCTTTATTCCATTTGTTTAGTGTTCATTGTGTTTATATTTTGAGTGTCCTTCGATAACTCATTGTTAAGATTGAGGGCTTGTAAAATTAAAATTTGGTGTCCAATCAATAGAGCAGACATATCGCAAAGAGTCCATTATGTGGCTTTACAATAAAACAAAAACCCTTTAGTTTTGTATTACTTGATAGTGTGTCTTATTTCATCTTCCCCATTTGTATGTGTGTTTTCATAGCATGTGTTACGCTATTCCTCAAGGTTTTGTATTAGCTGGGAGAGTTTATTTTATCCTTCGCATTGTATATGTTTTCCTATCGTGAGTAGTTAGGGGGGACCGTGCGCCTTGCCGTTTGAGGGCACTATTCATGTGTGTTGACCTCGAGGGAAGGGGTAGAAACGATGTTGTCATAGTTCCACGAAGTGGAACCAGAGGGCGCGTTACTAGGGGCACACGAAATGTATCAAGGTGTCTCATCATGACTAGATTTAATACAATCGGTTTAAAACGCTAACTCATTAGCTCTATATCTAATTACATTTTTTGACCACCTATATGTAAATCATCCTGAAAAAGGACGCTTATTTAAATATCATGCAATATTTTAAAATTTACTGTTTCATTATTAATTTTTTCACAATAAAGATTTTGCAATCTGATTTGCATAAAAGACACGTCTATTAAGGACGTATTTACATGAAAACGTTTTACAACAAAATCTTTGTGGAATCCAAATTTAGATAGGAGTTTTCGTTTGGACAAATGTGGACAACGATGATAAGCACAATATATATATATATACATACAATATTGTCTATACACACACACACACACACACACACACACACACACACACACACACACAC